TGTTGCATTCCATGTGCCTGGTGGGAAGTCCAGTAAGATCTTTGGACAGTAACACCAACTGGAGAGATTGATTTGACCATATGCGAGAGTGCTATAAATGCTAACCCAACTGTTAACAGTTTTCTTTTCTTTTCTTTTCAGTGAGTCAGACATATTAGGTGAATGGATTTTACAGCTTTTACCCTTGGCTTCCTCGATACATTCTTAGAGAGAGAGAGGGAGAGGGAGAGAGAGAAGAAGAAGAAAATAGATAGATACAGTTTTCCTCAGCTGAAGGAACTTCAGGCTATTAACCAGGAAGTACTGACTTAAGCAATATTTACTTCACAAATGGCTTCTTGATGAAAGACTTGACACTTACTTCTTTAGCAGACTGGTACAAATTGGATCTTACTTTATATCTTAAGTATTTCCCTGATTATTGGTCGGCTTTCTTAGTTGTGAAAAAATTGTTTGAAGAAGCCATGAAGTTCCTCACCATCTGAATGGGTTTTACAATGCTAAGGCTAGCACATAGCCATTTGAGAAGGCTCTGTATTTATTACCACCTGATCATTTTTGGACAGCTCTATAGCAGCTTGTCTGACTCAAAAGAAATAGTGAAATAAGTGCCCATGAAAGTAGTACAGTATATTAATATAAAAACAAATTCATTGTAGTGTCTCAGGCCCTAGCACATAATAGATAGCCAGTTAATGTGGGATACATGGTGCTTTAAAATTTACGGAGTGCTTTCATATATATTATTGTATTTGGTCCTCACAATCTTATGAGCCTAGTATTATTCTTATTTTTAACATGAGGAAATTCATACACCCTTGACAAGAATGTTTTATGTATCTCTGCTATATCTGCAGACAGAAACAGCCATTGTTAATCATCTCTCAATTCCATCTTTCATGTCTTACAAAATATTCATAATCAGCCAATAAAAGACCTGCCTGATCTGAATTCAGCTTTCGCTACTTTGAGGAGCTCTCGAGTTGCATTTTTCAAGATGGTTTAGGAATAAAGTTGGACTGAAGTTCTTGAATGCAGTGCATTTTTTTCTTGCCTTAATAGAGCACTGGTTTATATTTATCACAATGTAGGCTGACTTACAAGTTAATGAGCTGCAGCAATTTTTTAATACTAAAATGTGATTTGAATACTAAAATGTGTAAGCTTGTCCAAGCATATTTAATTTATCCCAGGCACACCTTCTTAAAAGTACCTTTCTGGTATTAAGTTCCTGTGTGGTATATAATATGCTAAAACAATCTTATCAAAATCTCTGACCTTTATAGCTTTCTAGTGATGAGTACATGAAAATTACTTGCCATGACATTTGGCTTCTGTTAGAATGTTCATTTTTCATATCCTTTCCTACTAGTGTGGATTTCTTTTCTTTGTCCATCTAGAACACCTTTCTTTAAACTTCAGAAATAGGTCCATCTACTTTGGACCTATTGGTCCAAAAGTAGGTCCTACTTTGGACCTGCTTTGGATGGTATTATCTCATCCAGGTTCTCTCCCTCTTTCTCTCTCTCTTTAAATTGTGATATAGGTGAAATTTTACAGAGAAAATTCATTTTCTTTACAACAGTTCATAAACATTTTGTTTCATGACATAATGTAACAGTTCTCTTTCCACTTCCTCCCTGGGGTTACCCTTTCCCTGTGTCCTTCTTTCCTATGCATTCCTGCCCTCTAAGCTATTTCCCTGTGCAAATACTGCCCTTCTGATCTCCCATGGTTGATTGCTCTAAGGAGTGTACCTACCTTGTGTAAATGTTCACCTTATATGCCTGTCTATTGATTGGCTGCAAGCCATGAGAGTAAGTTCAGTTCCAGGCCCAAAGGGTGACTAGGGGTCATGGTCTCAGGGGTTTCACCCATCCTAACAGACCAGTAAGCCTGGTCTTTTTTTATGATTTTGAGTTTTGTTGCACATTTTTCTTCCACTGTACCCAGGGTCTCCTATTTTGATCCTTTTCTAAGTGGTTGACATTGGTAGCTGGGCACTCTCTAGTTCTACTGGTCTCAGAGTCATGTAGGCAGTTTGCATGGTCCACTAATCCTTTGGACTAATTGTTTCTGTGCATCTTTGGTTTTCTTCATTCTTTTTTGCTCCAGACAAGAAGGAACCAACTGTTGCATCTTAGATGGCCACATGTAAGCTCTTAAGACTCTAGTCACTACTTACCAAAGTAGGATAATAGAGTGATGTTTTTGGGTATTATGTTATACCAATTGAACTTGATGTCCCTTGACCATAGGTGACTCACTCCCCTCAGGGTGCTGGGCTGTGGCTAAGAAGTTATCATCACTTTGCCCCATTAGCTCTATCATAGATATGAACATTCTTATACCACGATCAAATACGTATGGAGAAATACTGTCTGCCAAACTTAGGTGTGGTCATGGGTGTTTTCCCTTTTAACTAGACATACCTGATCATTTAGCCTGTCTACCTGTGTATCCACCCATAGGCTGATGTTTGTTCTTACTGAAAATACAGTGTTATGTGTGTGAAAGTGTTTGTCTTTGTTGTCTGTACCTCTTATGCACCTCTCTGTGTCTTCCTTTTCCTTAGTGTTCTTGTGTTGGTCACTTTTAGTCATCCAGGCTTTCTTTGAAGTACTTAAGTTAGAATTGTTTTTCCTGTGGTGTGAGGCATTTAGTCCAGCAGGGAATTCTGTGTTTGCAGGATTTATTTTCCTAAGGGGTTAAAAGTGTTGTGTCATTCACATTCATTTTTATTCTGTTGGCAAAGAAACATTTCAGTATTTTTTTATATCATGTTTGATGCCATGACAGTGATTAGAGTAAGTAAGTTGGATGTACTCAACTTTTATGTCCCTGCCAACCAAAGTCTAGATTTTAGCTTCTCTATGAGAGAACCAAGACAATACTATGACTTAGAGATGTGAAACATTTTTTTCAACCTGATCATTCTCCTCAAGAATATGTTTTGATTGACTTATGAATTGCATTGTGTTATGTACATAGTAATGAGTTAGTTATTTAGGAAAGGCAAAGTAGCTCACTTCAGCAGTAAAGAGAATATATTCTACAGGGAAGAACATAGGAATATGAAGTGCTGTGTGCTGTATGAGGCACGTTGAAGTTATTTCTTAGATTAACAATGTTATAGAAATATGTCCAAAATGAGATTGGAATTGTTTAAGCTGCTGACATGTATAATGAACAGTAGTTCTTCCTGTTGACAACCTCAGGGAGTAAGATACTTGGTTGATATTAGTATTAATATTCTTGAGGCTTCTTAAAAATCATTGTTTCTTAGAGTTCGCTATATTCCCCACTTAGCTAATCTTTTCTTGCTTTTGTATGTGTCCATTCATTTGTAGAATATAAATGGCATTCGCACAGAGGAGGTGGCTACTGTGATAAAGGGGCCGAATACTAACCCTGACTCTGAACAAGAGGGCCACACATTTGGCAAGAGCCAAATGATCACCCCACCAGAGTCTTCACAAGGTTTTGACTTCAGCTCCCTCTCCATAAGCAGCAAGGAGACAGAAGAGAAGGTGCAGGGGGCATCTGGCCATTTTGGTATTAAGGAGATGCCAAGAGGCCCAAATGGGGAATGTATAGGAGAGGAGGAACAGGCCAGTACTTTAAAGGGCCCCATGGGCAAGTTCTCAGTACTGTCAGCTTCCTGTCAGCTGCAACTTGGTGAAAAAAACACAGAGAGTGGTGAAGAACATGTTACACCAGGAGAGCCACTTGGAAAGCAAAATGGATCATTTCTTGACTCTCATGTGGGTAACCAGTTCCCCACCCTCATTCGAAGTTTCCAGGTAGTGTTACCTGATTCAATGACACAGGTCTAATGACTCTCTTTGGGAGAAGGCCAAAGTCTGTTCTGTATAGGAGGTGGCAGTGGTGGTGAAGGTAGACTCTCTGCTTTTTTTCAATCACAGAATAAAATTGAAGCCTTTGGTTTCTACAAAGAAATTTATGCAGAGGAATAAACTCCATGCTAGAAATGCTTTCTCCCCTACTGACTTACAAAACTCTTGGGAGTAAACTCCAACTATTTATCTTTATGAGCTGGTATCAGTTTGTTCTTTTCTGTTCAAGTGTAGAATATTTAAAGAGGTAAATTTCTGAGACTTGAATGGTGCAGAACCTTCAGTGTTCTCAGACAATGCTCAAAAACTCAAATACTCTTAACTAAAAGAGGCAACGGATCTTTTTATGAGACTCCAAGGCTCAAATTATGTTGCAGCCACATAGTGCAACTCCACCACTCCCACTGACCCTATTCACAGGGGCTTGCTTCCATGATCATAGGCACTATCTCCTATGCTAAGGTGATGGCCACTTAATCTTACCACAATCAAATGGTAGTTTTAGGGTGATTTATAGTCTTGGGGAAGGTGAGCTGATGGACGAGAAAGCCTTTGATATTCCACTATTTTACTCTTTTGAAATTCTGAGATTAATCACCAGGTGGTGGTAGAACTGATTTTTTTCTTTCTGTTTTCCAAATACTGTTTATTCTTAACAACTCCAAAGTGAATATCTGACATTGATTTGAAAGAAGTTAATGAATTCCAGGGTAATGCATTCCAATCCTGCTGCCATTTCATGTACCACTTGTACTTATTGGAGGAAATGTGGCTGGTTTTCTTAAATATAACAGTACAGAGGACAAATGAAAGTGATTGCTATTTGGCAAATAGTTTTATGTTCAAAATCTAAAGGTCAGTCTGAAGTGTCTTATATCACCAATCATGTCTGATCTTACAGCTTTCCATTAGGCATATGAAAGTGATTACAGGAATTCTGTTCTTTAATATCTTTCATGATTTGATACCTTGTCAGAACTACTTTGGAACAGTATCCAAGACTTGGGCAGAGTGAATACCTTTGGAGATTGAGCTAGTCCTTCTTAATTAGAGCTAACACTTTGATCAGATCAATGTCAGAAGATTTGTTTCCCCCAGAGTTCTGAAAGACTTTGGTAACTCTGTTTCCTTACTGTTTCACAGCCTCCCCTGGTGAAGACTCAGACTGTCACCATCTCAGATACTGCCAATGCTGTGAAAAGTGAAATCCCAACCAAAGACGTCCCTATTGTCCACACAGAAACAAAGACCATCACTTATGAGGCTGCCCAGGTAGGACATGGTGTGATGCTTCAGAACCAGACTAGAGTAAACACAATAGATAACTTTTTTTGCGTCACAGTGTTTCTGATCATTTGCTGTAAATAATGTTATTCTTTTCTGGTGTATTTCTTTTTAGAAAAAATTACTGATTTAAAGATGTCACAAAATACTTGATTAAAAGCAAAATCAACTTGGATCTGATTGCTTATATCTGCTCAATTTATTAGTCTAGTATAATGATGAAGAACATGGTCTTCAAGGTCAAGCATACTTGAGTTCAGGTCGTCTCCTCAATGTACTAACATGGGCCAGTAGTTGATACCCTTGGTACCTTGCCCCTGATGGTAATATCTGCCTCATGGAATTCTTATAATTGTATAAGATATGGTTCTGTATGGAAATGGCTTGAGCACCATAACTGAAAGCATAAACAACAGTGAAAATAATTATAAATTTATTTAAATTAATATTAAAATCACATAAGAACTTAAGTATTTAAATATTTGTTTAAATTTTGTCTTAGTTTCTTAGTACTGCTATAACAGAAATACTACAAGTGGATGGCCTTAATGAACAGAAATGAATTTTCTCATAGTTTAAGAGGTTAGATATCTGAATTTAGGGTGCCAGTTTAGGGAAAGGCTCTCTGTAAGCTCTGGGACAAGATCTTTGTCTCAGCTTCTCTTTGGAGATCACCATGTGATCTCCAATTCATGCTTACTTCTCTGTGCCTAATCTGCCCTTTTTATATCTCAAAATTAGTAGATTTAAAATACTGCTACACTAGTATGACATCATTAACATAACAAATAAAGCCCTATTCCCAAATGGTATTGTTGTTTTTAGGTGCCGTTGAGTCTGTTCCAACTCATAGCAACCCTGTGTACAGCAGAATGAAACAATGCCTGGCCCTGCACTATCCACACAGTTGTTGATATGTTTGAGCTCATTGTTGCAGCCACTATGTCGGTCCATCTCATTGAAGGTCTTTCTTTTTTGTGCTGACCCTGTATTTTACCAAGCATGATGTCTTTCTCCAGGGACTGGTATCTTCTGATAACATGTTCAAAGTATGTGAGACAAAGACTTGCCATTCTCACTTCTAAGGAGCATTCTGGCTGTACTTCTTCCGAGATGGATTTGTTGATTCTTTTGGCAGCCCATGTATATTCTTCACCAACACCATAATTCAAAGGCATCAATTCTTTGGTCTTCCTTATTCATTGTCCAGCTTTCACATACATATGGGGTGATTGAAAATACCATGGTTTGGGTCAGGCACACCTTAGTCCTCGAAGTGACATCTTTGCTTTTTACACTTTAAAAAGGTCTTTTGCAGCAGATTTGCCCAATGCAGTTCTTCATTTGATTCTTCACTGCTGCTTCTACAGGCATTGATTGTGGATCCAAGTAAAATGAAATCCTTAACAACTTCAATATTTCTCTGTTTATCATGATGTTGCTGATTGGTCCAGTTGTAAGGATTTTTGTTTTCTTTTTGTTGAGGTGTAATCTGCACTGAAGCCTGTAGTCTTTGAACTTCATCAGTAAAAGCTTCAAGTCTTCTTCACTTTCAGCAAGCAAGATTGTGTCATCTCATATTAATAGGTTGTTTGTGCATCTTCTTCCAATCCTGGTGCAGCATTCTTCTTTATACAGTCCAGCTTTTTGGATTATTTGCTCAGCATACAGATTGAATAAGTATGGTGAAAAGATACAATCCTTTTTTCAAAATGTAGTCTCATCAGTCATCACTGGGTTAATTCCCGCTAGCATCTTAGTCCCTGAAAAACTAGGTACAGCTGTTTGAATTGGGGATTCTGGTGCTCTGAACAGCTCACTGAGTCAGAGTGCACCAAACTCAGGGAAGTAGGATTGGAAAGGAGAAAGGGACAGGAGAAAAAAAAATAACAAGATCAAGAGATCCACCCTGCAGAGCACGACAGGCAGCCAAGAAAGGACATCGGAGACCTCCCTGGGGGAGCTCCAACCAGCAGGCAAGAGAGACCATCCAAGACCTCCCTGGATTAAGGAAGAAGACACACCACACCAGCATACCAGCGATCACCCCAAGGATCTACCTTCAGCACCTGATTTTATCAGTAACTTGGGTCAGCTAGGGGCAAGTGGGCACATTCAGCGGTGCTGAAATCCGAGCATAGAGTCCATTTAGTGCTGCAAGAGGGCGGGCCCAGGGAGGTGCCCCACAGCAGATCACTGAATAGGCTTGGGTCAGCTTTGTGGCACTGAGGGGCCCCACACTTGATTTTGTCAGTAATATTAAGACCACTGGGTCCAAGCGGGCACTGGCCTGACTCCAGTGCTGCTGAAACTCAGCGGGTCTTTGGCAACGTGGGTGGGCAGGCCCAGAGAGGAACTCTCGCGACAGATCGTGGTGTGGGCCAGCGATGCAAGTCGCGGGCCCTGGGAGGAACTCCTGCCTCAGATCACGGTCTGGGCTGGTGCTGCAGGTGGGCGGTCCCAGAAGGAACTCCGACGGCAAATTGCGGAGCCAGACAGTAGTCTTGGATCGGCTTTTTGGCACCAAGGGGCCTTGGGAGCAGGATTTTTGCATGTGTCTGAGCCTGGTGGAAAGTGGCGACCCCCTGACAACTGGAGTCTCTGCTGAACTTGAGCTACAGGCCTGTGAATAACAGTACAACATCATCATTAGCAGCTGGCTCAAAGCCCTAGAAATTGGCCCTACCAACAGGGAGCTTTCCTTCTTCCTTCTTATGCTCTCACCTTCTCCACCAATAACCTCACTCATCTGATAGAAGAAACCACATTCAGCCACCATAATGCCTCCCGGTTTGAATTCTAAACCCTCTTTACAACAAACAGAAACCCATATCCACATTCCACATAGTGATTCCATCATCACAAAGAAAACTGCAGAGCAACCCAGAATACATGAATTAATAACTAAAAAAATAAAATATACTAGCTCCACCTTTTCAAAATATTATATCATAAAACCAAGACAAAACAAATCAGTACATAACCAACAGTTAAAGACAACCTCATAATGTCTAGGAAACAACAGGCAACCACAAAGCTCTCATTAAACATGGAGGAAGAGGAGGCAATAGAATTACCTGAGAAGGAATTTAGAAGATATGTTTACAGAGCTTTACAAGAGTCTAAGGAAACCCCAAACAGAAGCAAGGAGAACACAGACAGTTCCCTGGAAGAACTCAGGAAAATCATTCAAGAACAAAATGACAAGATTAATGGACAATCAAAACTCATACAAAAACAGCAGTTAGAAATCCAGAAGATGAATACCAAAATTACAGAACTACACAACACACTAGAGGCACAAAAGAGCAGGATAGAACTGGCTGAAGAATGCATATCCCAATTAAAAGACAAATCCCTGGACACCAGCCTGTATGAAGAAAAATCAGAACAAAGATTTAAGAGAAATGAAGAGAACCTAAGAATTATATGGGATAATATGAAAAGGAACAACATAAGACTTGTTGGAATTCCAGAACAAGAGGTGGCGAAAAAAACCACTGAGAAAAATTGTGGAAGACCTACTAACAGAAAACTTCCCCCATATCATGAAGGAAGAAAAGATATTTGTCCAAGAAGCTCATAGAACCCCACAAAAGATAGATCCCAAGAGAAAAACAATGAGGGATATTATAATCAAACTCTCAAAAACCAAAGACAAAGAAAAATTTTGAGAGCAGCCCATGACAAAAGAAATATTACTTATAATAATCAAACAGGCTGAGCTCCAATTACTCAGCAGAAACCATGCAGGCGAGAAGGCAATGGGATGGCATATATAAAACACTGAAGGAAAAGAACTTCCAACCGAGAATCCTATATCCAGCCAAATTATCCTTCAAATATGAGGGCAAAATCAAGTCAGTCCCACACAAACGGAAATTAAGGGATGTTGTGAAAACCAGACCAACCCTACAAGAAATGCTTAAGGAAGTCCTTCCAATAGAGAACCCACAACAGAGATCAACAAAATCAGGATATGTGGCATCAACACTAAAACCAAATCAGAAATAGAAACTCAAAATAAGACCATAAAACACTGTACACTAAAAACCAAGTCAATCAGCACACAACAACAGCAACTAACCTATTAGAGGGAATAAAACTTCGAGGTACAAGCATCCAAATAGAAAAACAGGACAATGTCTTCACAAAATGCACTGTTCTAAAAATGTAGAAATAAGAATGTACTCCAAAGTAACCACAGAGAAAATTAACAATCCCCCTAAGCAAATCCAGAAGGAAGGAAAACATATGGTTTAATAAGCACAAAACCCACAATAAAGAAGAAAATAGAGGAAGCATTGGGCAACAAACCAAACTCAGCACAGAAAAATATATGGACCAAGGAAACACCAATAACACGACAAAAAAACACAATAGAATGACAGCAATCAATTCATACCTATCACTAATTACAATCATTGTGAATGGACTAAATGCACCAATAAAGAGAAAGAGAGTGGCAAACTGGATAAGAAAAGAAGACCCATCAATATGCTGCCTACAAGAGACCCACCTTAGACACGAAGATAAAAACAAATTAAGAGTTAAGGGATGGAAAAACATATACCAAGCCAGTGGAAACCAAAAAAGAGCAGGAGTGGCAATATTAATTTCTGATAAAATAGACATTAAGGTGAAAAACATCATAAGAGACAAAGAAGGACATTATATGATGCTGAAAAGGTCAATTGACAAAGAAGACGTTACGATAATAAGTATTTATGCACCTAATGAAAGTGCTCCAAAATACATGAAGCAGATATTAACTGAATTAAAAGGGACAATAGACAACTCTACAATAGTAGTAGGAGACTTTAACACACTGGTTTCAAAGAGGGACAGATCAACTAGGACAAAACTCAACAAAGATACAGAAGAACTCAACAATACAAGCAACCAACTCAACCTCATAGACATATACAAAGCATTTTACCCAACAAAAGCACAATTCACATTCTTCTCCAGTGCACATGGATCCTTCT